TATACGTTCATTATATACGTCGTGTATGTGTGTTGAACTCGTATGCTCGTATACGTCAAGAAAAATGAAGAGTTTGATGTTAAGTCAATCACTACTTTTAACACTTCAATAAGATGGGAAGTTGTTTTCATGAAGTTGATATGTACCTTTCAGTTTGATCTTCCTTGTTTAAAATGGAAACATGTGGTTGGGCCTAATATTTTTTATTGCCTAAATGTTTTGGCAGGGAAGTTGCTCGAAGTCGCATGCCGAATGCTCGGGGCGATCGGACAAGATTCCCGTTTCACCACTTGCCGACTGTGAGCACAACAACCATCATCACTTCCCCGCATCATAAACAAAACTTCAAACAACGAAACGGTAAATCCCTCATTCTTACATGGTGTAAGTATAACTATAAACGCAACCATATCCAAACAGAATGCCAGATTAGTCCGAGTTCGAAGTATCTGCTTCAGACCACATTAGTTTACAAGTCATTTTCATGTACTTATCATCTGTTCATCTGCATATGAATTTGTTCCATTGTTTACTGTATTCTGCAATAAAATATTTTTTTTCTTTTTCCTTTTATGATGACAAACTCTCACAGCTCAATCCAGCTACGTACACATCGTGATAAAACGTGCATGAATTGTCACATTTTGTAATTAATACTTTGTTTTGTTTTTTTTGGGTTCTAAATTTTATGGTTCAAAAGGCCGCAAAAAGATCACCCTGGTTGGTTGCTGATATCCTCGTCTACAAGATTTTTGTATTCTGTCAATTTATGCGTGTAATAATACGGTGGTATTAACGGTGGCTGTGGTGGTGGTGGTGGTGGCGGCTACTGTTGTTTGGCGAGGAGGGTATGGGAAGAGGGGTTTAATTTTGTGAAGAAGGCCATCAAGTTGGCTATCCCACTTAATAAATGTATATTATGTATAAATGTATTCCTGTTGACTTCACCATTTATGGAAAATGAAATTGTATGTAATATTTTCATTTTGTGAAAACACTCTTATGGTTTTTCTAATATTTATTTGTAATAATTGTTGATATTTAATATAAATTATAATAATAAAAAGGCTAGTGATGATTTTAATGTATCATCGTAAGATAATCACGTCATCATTGAAAAATAAAAATAAAATAAAAATTTCAAATCAGAGGTTCTATTAATTTTTAAACAATGGGTACCAAATTGAAATCTAAATTAAATATTAAATATAATTTTAAGAAAAATGAAATTTAAGTACCAAAATAGAATAAAAGTAGAAATTTAGGTACTAAACGTGTAATAACTATATTTTTGATGATTTTTCCAATAAAATTATTAACGATTAAACCTTTAAATAATACTTCTTCAAAGTAAAAGATTGAGTGAAATTTAGTTATAGTCATTTATTTATTAGATATTATAATAATTAGTGTAATTCATTAAATGTTTTATATTTTAAATAATTAAAATATGATCTATGTTACTTTGTTGAATTAACTAACTATTAAAAGTTATAAAACGGTCTCTTATAAAATGTATCTTTGTTGAATCTTTTAATTATTAAAAATTACAAAATAATTACTAGACTATTCATATTTTAAACTCGTATTTTTTCGTTAAATAATTGGTGAGGTTTGAGCATTACATTAACATACTTATTGAGATATGATAAAATATGATGTCATAACAATTTAATTTTTATTTTGTAGATTGATTCTTCATTTATATTAAGTCATCGAATAGATGCTTAAAAACAACGACGATATTATTAGACATCACTAAATTATAATTTTATCATGTTTTAATTAGTATGTTAAGGCCTAGATGATAATATATTTTTAACTAAAAAAGATAAATTTAAAACATATAAATAATTAAGTTATCATTTTATAATTTTTAATAATAAGATAGTTTCAATTAAACAACTACATATAATTAAAAGATTATTTTATCTTTTAATTATTAAAAAATTTAATAAAATAGTGACTTATAATTATAATAAAAAAAATATTTGTGTACTTATCCAAAATAATAATACATATTATAATTTAAAAAGAATGAAAGGTTATGGTGACACATTTGCCTCGGGAAAAGACAAAATCTACTGAAACTGTAGGTCCCTGACGCAATCTCCAGTGACGAGTCATTTGTTGTACTGTCTGATAATGACCCGTCTCAAATTTTCTAGTATTCCCCACACTTGCTTCAACTTGCTTCTTAAGACAATCTGATTCCCCCATAGAGCATAGGAGGTCGAGTTCAATCTGACTCCCCGTCCTCCGTCGCCATATAAGAGTTCGAATCCAACCAGATGGAGTTGACGCCGTACATGAAACCCATTCCCGGTTCCCTCGGTTGAATCGTCGAAGCCTGTTGTCTGCAACCCATCAAAACATGTTTGCTATTGGATAGGACGAGGAATCGCAGGGGAATCGTGTTGAGCACCTAAGGGGTGCGGGAGCTTCGGAAAGGGTTGATGCCCTTCGCAATGCACTTGCGTCACAGAGCGAGTTTAAGGGCTCGGATACGGGCACTTTGAGACACACAGCGAGGGTCTTGGCTAGGTTCGGTGCTGGGGTTCTTGAGGTTAGCTTTCCTTTCTTTGTTTTCATCCACTTTTTAAAACTACTGCATGTATTAAATTATGGTTGCACTAGTGCTGTAATATTATTACAGATGCCGATTTAGTAGTTATAAGTGTTGAGGACGTTATTTAATGCATAACCATAATAATATCCATTTTGATGACTTGAAAACTGTTATGATACTATTATGTTGTCTTGTTATTATAATTTAATACTATGATTCAAAATTCATCCGATTCGTGTTTTACCGTTCTTACTCGAACCCCAATGTTGTTTGAGCTAATGCTTAGTTCTCAATGATATAAAAAAATAATGTTGAGTTCTCAACTTTGATTCTGGGTTGGTTTTTGATTATGCAGTTGGTGAAAATTAGACTTCAGCAACAGAGGACTGAGTCGAGAGCTTCTAAGGTACAAACCTCCCCTACATTGTGCTCATAGTCATCCGTAAAGAAGGCCTTTTCGAGCTGTGGACAGTAGCTGCCCCTAGTCTACCGTTATGCGTATCAGCACGAACCAATCCGCGATGTTTACGGCCATAAACCCTTACGATGTGGTATTGTGGAAGAAACACGAAGGTCATCCAACCATGGCAGTCCAAGATCTCAAGGTTGATGGCCCAATGTCTAGATGGAGGGTAGGTGAAGTAAAGGGGCATGTTCCATGCTATCCGAACGACTGCCTCGGCTCATGAGGACGCCACCTGGCCAGGCCATAGTGTAGGCTGTGGCCGACCAAATAACCGGCCTTTACGAGAGGAGATACCTTCATCCCGCACCTTTATAGACTCGCTTTTTTCCCCCTGCTCCTTGTGGTTTCGAATAGCATAACACAGCATCGAGTTGATGCGGTGGTGCTTTCTTTAACCGTTCTTTTCAGTGCTTGCTCTCGGCTTTCTGTCATACCATGTTTCAGTCAAAGAACCAGGTGAATTCTTAGATTGATTGATATGTTGGTCTAGTAAGAAATCCACATTTTGATGTAGCTGTGGGTTTCTATAACATTTACCACAAGTAGTTTTATCATTGTTAATTATCATTTTATATCGCCATGTTTCTCGGATTTGGATGTGAGTGTCGAATACGGGTATGATCAAAACTTTTTAAGTTTTTTTATGTAGTTGGAGAGGATTCATGGAGATCATATCACTGTATCCATGCGTCTGTGATGGTTTTAGAATTTTGGTTATTACTAATTGAGATTTTGTTTATTATTACTATATAATAATAAGATTAAATTAGTAAATTAGTAAATATTAAATAAAATTTTATATTTATAAAAATATATTCAAGTCTAAATTTTTTTTTATTAACTATTTAAAAGTCAAATTATCTATTAGTCGAGATGAACAATAAAAAGAAAAGAAGGTGGCTTAAAGGCTAGGTGGTTAAGAGTCGGCAAAGACTTTATAGGAAAAGAAAAGACCGAGTTTTGAATAACGCACGCTTGGAAACCCTGAAATTTTCTTCCGCTCCACGTTGTGCAGATAGGGCACCAGATTCTCTGATAATGGAAGGTAGTATTAATAATAGGGATGGGCATAGATTTTGGTTCACCCGACTCGACCCGAGAAGAAGGGGACCTCCACCCGTGATCCGAACCGACCTGACAAAATTAGTTTTTCACTCGATCCGACCTGATAGATAGTTTAAAAAATCCGACCCGATCCGAAATAATAAAAAATAATTTTTATTCAATAAAAACAGTGACTAAATTGAAAAAAATAATATATAGAGGGGTATTATTGTAATTATTCCTAAATATATAAGGTAAAATTATATATTTTTCCCGGGTCGGGTCGGTCGGATTTTTTCACCCTAAACCCGAACCCGACCCGAACACCACATAAAAAACCGACCCAACCCGAATTTTTTTTAGAAAAATCCGATCCGATTGGGTCGGGTTCGGGTTAGATGCCTATCCCTAATTAATAACTATTTACAGCCTTCTACTTGTGATCTTTCCCTTCCATTTTGTTTTGCTTTTCTTGTTATGTTTGAAAATACGAGTGCAGTGAATAGCAAGTGTGGGTCTAGTCTTCCCAAGGTTACATGGAAGGTTGAAACTTTGAATGCAGTGGATGATGCTAAGCCTCAGTCTATGTATGTTAATGGAGAAATAACAAAGGTCAATTGGAGGATTGACAATTTCTCCAGAATCAATAATCTCCTCTCTAAATTTTTTATTATTGATGGAATCAAATGGTAAGTTTGATTTTTCTTTTTGTGGCTTATGTTCTAATTTATGAAAACAAAGTTGCTTATAATTTGGTTTCCTCGTCAAATCCAATAGTTCAGCTTGTATGAAGCTTTGGCATGGTTAAAACAGTCCAAGACATATGCCAACCCTAAAAGAGGCTATCTCGTCAATGATGCATGCCTAGTTGAAGCCTACATTTCCACTGATGGTACTCAATTTCACATTTCACATGAATGTATGATCAAAACTGATTCGGATGGACGTAAGATCAAGGAAGCTGATTGTGTTAAGGTAGCCATACATAACCAGACAACTATAAAACCGAACCAGTAGAATCACAACTTCTTTACTAGTTACTTGTTACTACATTTAATGCATTTATGTATCTCTATCATTGCTTTCTATGCTTCCATTTCAGGCCATTGGTCCCGAAGACCCTACCGAGGAAGATATGAACAAATTCTTCTCAAGCTTAGAGTACAAGCTTGCGAGCTCCAAAACCGTTGTTTCTCAAGAAGAAGCGAAGGAAGCACTGGCTAAATTAGACGAAGCCATGAATTCCCCTGTCGATTTTTACAATTCAGGGAAGTTTTCTCCACTTAAGCAGGCATTCAAGATCCTTGCTAGTTTTAATAGTGTTGGTTTTTGGCAAAGTCCCACATTGGTCGTGTATAAGGAGGAGGGGAAATTCTTTTGTTATAAATAAAGTCATCCTCCTCCTTAGTTAATCATCCCACAAATATAAGCCTACTTCTATATTAAAGGCTATTTGTATTCTTTCTCTCTTTGTAATATTTCCTCTATTAGTGAAATATTTTAGTGTTCTCTTTTATCTCTATTTAATAGCTATTGTCGGGTATAGTTGTTGTTAATTATTGTCCTATTAAAATTACTTGTCTTGGTAGTTCTGTCTAAGGAAAGTGGGTTTTAAGAGGGACCATTGTGACCCATCCTCTTTCCTGGGAATATACCTTGGGGTGATTTTTAGTACAATCGTTTTCACACTAGTCACCTAGATAATAGTTTCGAAGGTGAATCTGTTATTGGTGAAATTAACCCAAATTCCACAACAATTGATATCAATGCTCTTGGTTTATTTTAGTATGCTCTGTGGTTGCGGCTTAGGCTGATCTTCCACATCAGAAAAAATTTCCTTGGGATAATTGACATTCCGCATTGGCAGCTATTAAATAGAATTTGTAGCAGAAATGGCAGACGCTTCTTCATCTTCAATTTTGGCAAGAAATGCTGTGACAAATGTTAGATTTGCAGTGGAGATTTTTGATGGCACCTGTCATTTCGGCATGTGGCAAAGTGAGGTTCTAGATGCCCTATTTTTAGCAGGGTTTATACATTGCTATTGAAGGAGAGAAACCAGATGATGTTGAGGATAAAGAATGGAAGATGATCAATAGAATGACATGTGATACTATTCGATCGTGTCTTTCTAGAGAGCAGAAGTATGTATTTTCTAAGAAAACTTCTGCAAGTAAATTGTGGAAGGCACTGGAGGAGAAATTTTTGAAGAAAAGCAGTCAGAACAAACTCTACATGAAAAAGAGATTGTTCCGCTTCAACTATGTACCAGGTAACACTATGAATGATCACATTACTAGCTTTAATCAGCTGGTGACTGATCTGATGAATATGGACGTGACTTTTGAAGACGAAGATTTGGCTCTGATGTTGATGGGATCACTTCCTGATGAGTTTGAGTATCTTGAAACTACTCTACTTCATGGGAAGGTTGATGTGTCTCTCAGTGAAGTAACTACTGCCTTGTATAGTTATGAATTGAGAAAGAAAGACAAACAAGAAAACACAAGTGTCGAAGCAGAAACTCTTGTTGTTAGAGGCCGTTCGAAGAGTCAGAATAAAGGAAGCAGAGGGAGATCGAAGTCAAAGTCCAGATTGAGCAAAGATGAATGTGCCTTTTGTCGAGAAAAAAGGCACTGGAAGAAAGAATGTCCCAGGCTAAATAATAAAGGCAAACCTGAAAGGGGGAAGGTTGTCTCAGAATCAAATGTGGTCGAGTATGATGATGCAGATTCAGATTTCGCATTCGCTGCTACGCCATCAACCACCTGTTCCAGTTCATGGTTTTTAGATTCAACTTGTAGCCACCCATATGACCCCCAATAGAGAATGGTTCTTTGATTTTAAAGAACTAAAATGTGGAATTGTCTACACAGCAAATAATTCCCCTCTTGACACACTTGGGATTGGTTCAATTCGCTTGAGGAATCAGGATGAATCAATCAGAACCTTAATTGGTTTCCATTATGTACCAGATTTAATGAGAAATCTCATCTCTGTGGTAACCTTAGAGTCAAAAGGTTTAGAAGTGAGGGAAAAAGATGGGATTATGAGGATTATCTCTGGTGCACTGGTGATAATGAAGGGAATCCGAAAAAGAAACAATGTGTATTGCTTTCTGGGTAGTACAATTGTTGGGACAACAGCAGTGGCAGCTTCTACTGATGAACATGAGTCAGAAGCAATCAGGTTATGGCATATGCGCTTGGGGCATGTTGGTGAAAAATCCTTGAAATTACTCATAGATCAAGGATTATTGAAGGGTGCTCGGACTTGCAAATTAGCTTTTTGTGAGCATTGCATCAAAGAGAAGAAGACGAGGGTGAAATTTGGAACAACAATCCATGATACTAAAGGTATTTTGGATTATGTTCATTCAGATGTATGGGGGTCTTCCAAGACAACTTCATTGGGAGGAATACACTATTATGTCGCCTTTGTTGATGATTTTTCCCAGAGAGTTTGGGTGTATCCAATGAAGACAAAGGATGAGGTGCTAGGATTTTTCCTTAAATGGAAAAAGATGATGGATACTCAAACAGGCAGAAAAATCAAACGTCTCCGTACAGACAATGGTGGAGAGTACAAAAATGATCCATTTCTGAATTTCTGTGAAGAGGAAGGTATTGTCAGGCACTTCACTGTCAGAGGTACACCACAACAGAATGGGGTGGCAGAGCGTATGAACCGGACATTAGTGGAGAAGGTTTGGTGTATGTTGTCTAATGCTGGGTTAGGCAAAGAATTTTGGGCTGAGGCTTTGGTCTATGCTTGTTACCTTGTCAACCGCTTACCATCGACTGCTATTGGTGGTAAAACACCATTAGAGAAATGGTTTGGAGTACCTGCTACAGATTATGATTCCTTACATGTGTTTGGTTCCACTGCATACTACCGTGTTAAGGAGTCAAAGCTGGATCCAAGAGCAAAGAAGGCGATCTTTATGGGGATCACCTCTGGTGTGAAAGGCTATCGTCTTTGGTGTCCAGAAACAAAGAAAATAATCTTCAGTAGGGATGTTACCTTTGATGAATCTACCATGTTGAGAAAGGTGACTTTAGAAAAATTAGACCAGACAGATGGAACTCCCAAACAGGTGGAGTTTGAAGGAAGCAAGATTGTCTCAACCAGTAAAAGAAACTGACGTTGACTCTCCTATGGTAGAAGAAGAGTCAGATGAATAAGAGGTTCAGACCCAAGAGCCTCCACAACAACATGAATCAATTGCACTCAGAAAGGGAAAGAGGACCATTAGACAACCTGTTCGTTATGCTGATATGGTCTCTTTTGCATCACCAATTGCAATTGATGACGTTCCTACCACTTTTAATGAAGCAGTTCAAAGTTCAGAACATAAAAAGTGGAGGATCGCCATGAATGAAGAAATGCAATCCCTTCAAAAGAATCAGACGTGGAAACTAGCTAGTCTTCCGAAGGGAAAGAAGGAAATTGGGTGCAAGTGGGTATATGCAAAGAAAGATGGATTTCCTGACAAGAATAACATCCGCTACAAAGCAAGATTGGTGGCTAAAGGCTACGCTCAAATGGAGGGAGTTGATTATAATGAATTATTTTCTCCAGTTGTAAAACATTCATCCATCAGAATTTTGTTGGCTTTGGTAGCGCAGTTGGATTTGGAACTAGTTCAGATGGATGTAAAAACTGCATTTTTACATGGAGACTTGGATGAGGAAATCTACATGACTCAGCCAGATGGATTCAAAGTTGCTGAAAAAGAAGAGATGGTGTGCAAATTAGAAAAATCATTGTACGGATTGAAGCAATCTCCAAGGCAGTGGTACAAGCGATTTGACAAGTTTATGATAGGGCAGAAGTACACAAGAAGCAAATATGATCATTGTGTGTATTTACGCGAGCTAGAAGACGGGATCTTATATATATCTTCTTCTTTATGTTGATGATATGTTGATAGCTTCCAGGAGTCAGACAGAAATTATGAAACTAAAGACTCAATTGAACAGGGAGTTTGAGATGAATGATCTTGGTGAAGCGAAGAAGATTCTAGGCATGGAGATATCAAGGGATAAAAAATTGGGGAGGCTTTGTTTGTCTCAAAAAGAATATCTAAGGAAGGTACTAAAACGTTTTGACATAAATGAGATGTCAAAACCAGTTAGTACACCTCTTGCTCCTCATTTCAAGCTCGGTACATCAATGTCACATAAGGATGATACAGAACGGGAATACATGTCAAAGGTTTCGTATGCAAGTGCTGTTGGTAGCTTGATGTATGCAATGGTGTGTACGAGACCTGATATTTCACAAGCAGTTGGGGTTGTGAGCAGGTATATGCATGATCCTGGAAAGGAGAATTGGCAAGCTGTGAAATGGATTCTGCGGTATATTCTGAACACCGTAGATGTTGGTTTGGTCTTTCAGCAGGACAAACAAGACGATCAGTGTGTAGTTGGGTATTGTGATTCAGACTATGCAGGTGATTTGGACAAGCGTCGATCAACTACTGGTTATGTGTTTACATTTGCAAAGGCACCAGTCAGTTGAAAGTCTACCTTACAGTCAACAGTGGCTTTGTCTACTACAGAGGCAGAGTATATGGCAGTTACAGAGGCTGTGAAGGAGGCAATTTGGCTTCAAGGGTTGCTTGGTGAATTGGGAATGGAACAAAAGCACATCAAAGTGCATTGTGACAGTCAGAGTGCTATTCATTTAGCAAAGAACCAGGTTTACAATGCAAGGACGAAGCACATCGATGTCCGATATTACTTTGTACGAGAGATTCTAGAAGAAAGTGGAGTCATAATCCAGAAGATTCAGACCACTGAGAATCCTGCTGATATGTTGACAAAAGTGGTAACTGCGGTCAAGTTTAAACATTGTTTAGACTTGGTCAATATTGTTACAAATTAAAAGATTGTTTCTTAGAGATGTGTGTGGAATTTGCCAAGGTGGAGATTTGTTGGTTTTTGGCAAAGTCCCACATTGGTTGTGTATAAGGAGGAGGGGAAATTCTTTTGTTATAAATAAAGCCATCCTCCTCTTTAGTTAATCATCCCACAAATATAAGCTTTCTTCTATATTAAAGGCTATTTGTATTCTTTCTCTCTTTGTAATATTTCCTCTATTAGTGAAATATTTTGGTGTTCTCTTTTATCTCTATTTAATAGCTATTGTCGGGGTATAGTTGTTGTTAATTATTGTCCTATTAAAATTACTTGTCTTGGTAGTTCTGTCTAAGGAAAGTGGGTTTTAAGAGGGACTATTGTGACCCCTCCTCTTTCTTAGGAATATACCTTGGGGTGATTTTTAGTACAATCGTTTTCACACTAGTCACCTAGATAATAGTTTCGAAGGTGAATCTGTTATTGGTGGAAATTAACCCAAATTCCACAGCAAATAGATCCTCTACCACCCTTACAATTGAGCAAAAAAAAGTTGTTGGCCATGGAGGAAAGCTTGAAAGAAGTAGCTGATCGGGCAACGAAAGTAGTGGAGGACAAGAACCACCTTAGTGAGAATGAATCTATCAAGCTAACGATTACTCATAACTTGAATAATAATCTGGTCAGATATAAAGAGATGGAATTAGAGGTGAAACAGGTAGAGCAAAAACTTGTTGCCTATCAGGAGCAAGTTGAAGAAATACAAAAGGAAAGAGAGAATATATTGCTGAACGTAAAGGGATATTCAGAAGTTCGAAGAAAATGAAAGTGGAGTTGGAAGCATTGGAAAAAAAATGGGCAGAGTATGAGGCCATAGCCAAGATTGCTGAGAAGGAAGAGAGGGGCTGTTGAGGCTGAATGGAGAAGAATGAAAGATTTCAGCTCTTCTATAAAAGGAAAGATTTAAAAACCTTTGATCATCCTCTATAAACTCAATCATAGTTTCTTTACAAGAAACATCTTCAATTAGAGTTTTTGGATCATGGGATTTTGAGTTTGTTCAAGAATTGGCTCGAACCTCTTCGAGCTTCAATTTTGAATATATTAACACATGTGATGCCTGTGGATATAAGGGCAGAAGATCGAAGGGAGCAGTTGAGGAAGATTGGACTGGGTAAAGTCATCATGCTTCTGTCAAAATCGGTTGAGGAAATCACTGCCAATAGACAACTTGAAAAAGATTTGGTTGAAAACTGGAGTCGAACCATATTCAACAAGACTTCAAAGTATTCGGAACATGAAAAAGTTGTGATTCCTTTGAAGAAGCCATCACCATCACCATTGAAGAAGAAATCAACAATGGGAGTGAAGAAGGCTGATTTAGATTTGGAATTAGCGCCCCACAAGAAATCAAGTTCATCGGGGAGCGGCGGCGGTGTTGCAGTGCCGAAAGCGCTAGTAAATGAGGTGAATCCATGAACAAGTTCCAAGCTGGAGGTTGAAAGAGGTGGTGCGAGATACCTAAAACAGAGAGGCTGCAAGTGTTACATGGAGATAAAGAAGAAGATGAGGAAGTCGAAAAACTCTAATAAGAAGACTGTTCGTTTGCTTTTCTAAAGCTCTTTGATGGATAATTATGTTGCTAAGAATGGTACTTTGAGAGATGATTGTTTCAAGGCCTGGTGGTGAGGTAATACTCTTGTGGTTTTAGTTTTTTTTGGCGAGATTCAGATTTTGTTTCGCCGTTTGTTATTAGTCCATATTTCTGGTTGTTTTCTTTATGAATTTATCTCTAATTGTACTCTTTTACTTTATTTAGGATTAAGGAGGGTTTTAACGAGACACACAATCTAGTTTAATTCTCAATAAAATATTAGTTTTGCTGAGAAAAAAACAGCAATAAAAAAACATATCAAATTTGTTGTCTGCAAATTTCAATATTTTGTTCTCTACATGTTTATAATAATCTGTATATAACTTAGGCTTGCATCACTGTCAAATGTGGATTTCATCAACATCAACTCATCAAATATATTCACAGCTGCAGAGATAAAAAAAAATAAGAAAGTAAAAAATTATATTAAACGTAAATTGCATGCAGACTACAGGTGAAGGTTGGTTACTCTATGAATCGCATTTGCTAATAAGTCACAAGTCAAGCTCTTTGCGCGTGAAATTGTTGGCTTTGTGGATTCTTAGAGCTTGGTGAATAACAATTAATTGTTGCTTAATATCTTAAGGGAAATGGTATTAACTATTTCATCACTTTTGATGCTTAATGGTTGAACTGTTGGTTCTAGATTCAAGCTTTTGTTTAAACTCAATAACAACCCATGTTGTGATTTACATCAAGGAGTCCATCATTCTGAATCGATATAAAAAACGAGTCTTATCATATGGGATGAAGCTCCAATGGCTCTGTCATGCTTTTAAAGCACTCGACCATTCAGTTGTCTATTAATATGTGACCATAAAACCATGATATAGATATCACCACCGTTGAATCAATGAAGAAATTTAGTCAACGGGTTTTGGATCTCGGAGATGATAGATTAACTTTCTATTCCTTCAATTGTGATGAAATATCGAGTAGAACTTAAATATAGACCGATATTTTGTTGCAACCACATAGAGATCCTATAAGTCATATAGTTACATCTATTTGTCCAGACTTTATGGATAACTATCGTGGTTTTGTTTATTTGAAGGATCATTCCAATTTTTTCCTATTAATGAAGATGTGGTGAACGACATTTATGTTCTACTGCAAATATGTTTTAAAAGAGAGGAAGACAATACAGAATAAAACAAAGATGGAGAGCTTCAGATTGTTGAAAATTGGATTATCAGCCGGCGTCTGAAGGAGAATTCAAAGGTGGGCTTTTGTTTTTTTTTGTTGAAAAATGGTATTGACATAATTGTATTTTAATCCTTGCATTTTAGGATATTTACAATATTAGTCCTTAAGCTTCAACTATAGATACCCTAACCCATTTAGCTTCAAAATCATCCCAAATCATTTATTTCTCCCAATACTAGAGAGTTTTCTTGTGAGTTGTGAGTGTTTTGTAAACACCTGTAAATTTTATCTCTTTAGTAAAAGATATGCAGTAGTCCGGAGATGTAGGCATAATTGGCTGAACTCCGTTATCAATTTATGATATTATTTTTCCGCTTTAATTTAGCATTCTCACTAATCTGGTTATAGGGAAATTACTCGTTTTTGTTTTATTTCCCAAAAACTAGCATCAGAGCTTTTGGTGGTTAATTTTGTCAGTTTTTCTCTGAGATTACTATTCATGTGAATAGTGAATAGTAAAATTTGGTCAGCAATACGAGCTTGTCGAAGGAGGTGTTCTAATATACGACAGTTCACAAAAATTATCAGAAACGATCCAAAGAAGCCAGATTTGAGTGGGAGAGATGGCTGCAGACGAAGGGAATGTGAAAATTGAGAAGTTCGATAGTGCAAACTTTAGCTTTTGGAAGATGTAGATTGAAGATTTTATGTACCAGAAAAATCTATATCAATCTCTCTCAGGAAAACAACCAGAGGGCATGAAGAATGAAGACTAGGCTTTTTTCGACAGACAAGCCCTCGGAGTTATCCGACTGACGTTATCCCGCAATGTTGCTTTCAACATAGCAAAGGAAAAGACCACGACGGGTCTTATGAAGACTCTCTTCAGTATGTATGAGAAGTCATCATCCTCAAACAAAGTTCACTTGATGAGGCGATTATTCAATTCGCGTATGGCAAAAGGGGAATCAGTGTCTCAACACCTAAATGAACTCAACACAATCACAACCCAGTTGAGTTCCGTAGAAATTGAATTCGGTGATAAATTTCGAGCTTTAATTCTCTTATCATCTCTACCAGACAGTTGGAATGCTATTGTTACAGCAGTCAACAGCTCATCGAGAAATAGCAAATTGAAATTCGACGATGTTCGAGATCTGATATTGAGTGAAGAAATTCAACGGAGAGAATCAGGTGAAACATCAAGCTCCTTAGCCTTGCACACGGAGTCCATAGGGAGAACTTCATAAAGAAATTCAAATCGTGGCAGATCAAAATCTAGAATGGGAAAATCAAGAACAGAAAAGAAAGATTTTAACTGTTATAATTGTGGCAAGAAGGGTCACTTGAAAAGAGATTTTCGAGCACCGAAGAAAGATACTGGCACACAGGAATCTGCCAACATGACAGAGGAGACAGGTGATGCCATGATTCTAAGTGTCAACAGTCCAATTGAATCATGGATCTTGGATTCATGTGTATCTTTCCACTCCACCCCATGCCAAGAAATCATGGAGAACTATGTAGTGTTGATTTTGGGAAGGTTCATCTAGTTGATGATGAAACCTTGAAGATCGTCGGAAAATGAGACATCCGATTAAAGTTACCAAACCAGACCACTTGGAAGCTGAAAGGAGTGAGACATATTCCTGGTCTCAAAAGAAATTTGATTTTTGTAGGACAACTTGATGAAGAAGGATATAGTTCAACCTTTTCAGGCTGTGAATGAAAGATTACCAAAGGAGCACTCGTCATTGCTCGTGGTAAAAAGACTGGTACTCTCTATGTAACCTCAAATTTAGAGAATATCATTGCAGTAGCAGATGCTGATGTAAAATCAAACCTCTGGCACCAAAGGCTTGGTCATATGAGCGAGAAATGGATGAAGACACTTTTGTCAAAAGAAAGTTGCCAGATCTAAAAAATATAGATATCAGACTATGTGAAGATTGCATCTTTGGAAAATAAAAGAAAGTTAGTTTTGCAAAGATTGTCAAGATATCCAAGGCTGAAAAGTTAGAGTTGGTTCATACTGATGTATGGAACCATCTCCAGTTCCATCTCTTACAGGCTCACTATATTATGTCACCTTCATCGATGATTCTACAAGGAAGGTGTGGTTTTATTTTCTGAAGAAGAAATCAGAAGTCTTTGATACCTTCAGAAAATGGAAGGCCATGGTGGAAAATGATATTGGTTTGAAAGTCAAGCGGTTAAGGTCTGATAATGGAGGAGAGTACAGAAATAGTAGATTCAAAGATTTCTGCGTAAACAATGGGATCAAGATGGAGACAATAGTTCTCATAACACCGCAGCAGAATGGCGTAGCAGAACGCATGAACAGAACTCTGAATGAACGTGCCAGAAACATGAGGATACATGCCGACTTACCCAAATTGCTATGGGCTAAAACTATCAATACTGCAACTTACCTGATCAACTGTGAGCCCTCAGTTCCTCTGGATGGTAGAATACCAGAGGAAGTTTGGAGCAAGAAAGAAATAAACCTTTCACACTTAAGAGTGTTTGATAGTATTTCTTATGTACACATAAATTCTGCTGAAAGAAGTAAACTTGATGCCAAGTCCAACAAATGTGTCTTTGTTGGGTATGGTGGTGATGAGTTCGGTTACCGATTTTGGGACTATGAAAATCGAAATATCATCAGAAGCAGAGATGTCATTTTCAATGAGAATGTAATGTACAAAGACAGGTCAACCATAGAATCAAGTAGCTCCAATACTAAAGCTGAAACAAAGGAATTTGCTGAGTTTGAGGAGATTTTTGGAAATGATGTTCAGATCAGTTCTGAAGCAGTTCAAGAAGAACCAGGCACACTAGAACTGAGATGCTCCTCCAGAATTCCTAAACCAACCCAACGTTATTCGCCTTCTTTGCACTACTTGTTGCTGATCGATAATGGTGAACCAGAGTGCTATGATGAAGCAATGCAGGTGGAGGATTCAGTTAAGTGGGAGTCTTCCATGAAAGATGAGATGGACTCGCTTATGTCAAATCAGACATGGGAATTAGCTGAATTACCACTAGGCAAGAAAGCGCTCCATAACAAGTGGATTTACAGGATCAAAGAAGAGCACGATGGGAGCAAACGCTACAAAGCAAAATTAGTTGTCAAAGGTTTTCAACAAAAAGAAGGTATTGACTATAATGAAATTTTCTCTCCAGTCGTGAAGCTGTTTACAGTCAGACTGGTGTTGAAAATTATAGTTGCAGAGAATCTACATCTTGAGCAGTTAGATGTAAAGACAGCTTTCCTTCATGGTGATTTGGAGGAAGAAATCTATATGAGGCAGCCAGAAGGCTTCATAGAAGAAGACAAGAAAAACCTAGTATGCAGGTTGAAGAAGACAAGAAAAACCTAGTATGCAGGTTGAAAAACCTAGTATGGTTTAAAACAAGCTCCTAGACAGTGGTACAAGAAGTTTGATAGCTTTATGAGTAGCAGTGGTTTTACCAGATGTCAAGCAGATCATTGTTTCTACATCAAGAAGTTCGACTACAACTTCGTTATTTTATTGTTGTACGTTGATGACATGCTCCTTGCAGGCTCAGACATGCAAGAGATTATAAACTTGAAGCAAAAATTGTCGAAGCAGTTTGCAGTGAAAGATCTGGGTGCTACAAAGCAGATTCTTGTGATGAGGATTAAGAGAGACAC